CTCCCCGCCTCCTCCTCTGCTTCCCCTCCTCTGCACCCCGACACAACGTGGGGCGGGATTGTAGCCCGCGCTCCGCGTACTTCCGACGGGACCCTGGTTCCCTCTGCTTAGAAACCGCAGATTCTCTGATGAACAAGCCCCAAATCCGTGCGTAGCCACGAGTAAAATGAAACGCGTCTGTCTGTCTGTCTCTGCCGCGCACAATGTTTTATTGATCTAGTTACAATTTTAAAGCAATTTGGAAGCCTACCACCGCCTCAATCGCTATAATAAAACAGTAGTCTTTTCACTAATGACTGTCACTACTAATAAAATAATAATGCCTCAGTCACTAGATATAAAATGAAGTCTAAATACCTATACATTTTGGCCTTTGATTTGGGGGTTTTATCATGGAAATTGGAGCTCCCCCTGCCCGCTTTGCTCACGGGGATGCAGGTCCAGCCACGGCTGTCCCCCAGCTGCTTTGGGGGTCTGAGCAGCCCTGATCGGCCAGGGCCCTGCCCATGCCTGCACCCCCCTCACCTGCGCCTCCAGAGCCCTAAGATGGGCTCCTGCCGGACAGGTGTGGGGGCCCCACCAACAGGCCCCTGCCTCCCCCAACCCCACCGGAGGGAGCCCTCAGCTGCCGCTGCTACAGGGCCAGAGACCCGGGTCTGCAGCTCCCTCCCCCCCGCAGCAGCGCCCAAGCCCCGGCTGCTGCTGCCTATGGGAGGCGGTAGCTGCTGTGGCCAGAGCAAAGCACAGAGCCCAATCTCCACCTCCCCCATGGGTGGCACAGCTAGAGCAGAGCCCGTGGTGGGAGGTGGATGCAGGCTGCCCGCTGCGGGCTCAGGGCTCCTCACCCTGCTGCCCTCCCCTGGGGTCCTCCACCGCCCAGCGGGTGGGACCCAACGTACCAGGACAGAGCAGGGCAGGGAGCCCTGCTGCAGGCCTTGCTTGGTACTCCCACTTGGTGCAGCAGCAGGGGTGGCAGCACGAAGTGTCCCCCACAGCGGCTGGGTGGGCAGGGGGTGCCTCGCCATGGCAGTGTGGGGCTTCAGGCAGTGTCACCGAGCCTCCCTGCCCTGCCATGCCAGGTCCTGCCCACTGGGGCATGGAGGCCTTGGGGGAGGGCAGCAGGGCACAGTGGGCAACCCGCATCCTCCTCCACCCTATGCACAAATCTGCAGGGCTCATGCCCCCCAGGAGTGCGCATAGTGGCAGGGAACAAGCCCCCCCACTGCAGGCCCCTGGACAAGCTGCCCATGGCTCTGTCCCACTGACCAGCTGGGCCCTGCAGCCGCACATTCCCGCCCCAGCCCCGGGCCCCATGCACTGCCCTGCCCAGCTCCCTCCCTCCCTCCTTCAATATGGGGGCATCAATCTGCTTCCCCCCTAACCCCGACTTACCTGCAGGGAGCTACGGGAGCTGCTCCTTTGCTGCCTGGCTGCCACCTGCACGCAGTGCCCCCTGCCCAATCACGCTCCCCCCAGCCCCTTGCAGACTGGAACTCTGCCAGCCTACAAGGGGAATCCAGCTGGTTCCTGCGTTTTCCTCCTTTAAAGGAGAAAATCTGCATTTTTCTCCTTAAAAATGAGAGCATCTGTGTTTTACCCCCTTTATCTGTGGAAAACCCAGATCCCTGCTCATCACAGTGAGGGACCTACTTAAATGGCCCTGACACAAAGGGTCTTTCACAGCCTGCTGGCCAGGTACAGAGCCAATTGTGTGGCAGCCCTGCCCCTTGGCACTGATTGGTGGAGGGGGGAGGGACAGGGGGCAGCCGCTGTTTTGATTGCTAGCTGCCCCTCAGCTGATTGACACTTATTGGAGAAGACACCGCCGGGGGAGGAGGGGCAAAGGAGTGGCCACCATCTTGATTATTGGCTTCCCTTTGGGCTGCCCCACCCCTCAGCACTGATTGTCAGAGAGGCCTTGACAGGGGAGCACAGACATGGGGGCAGTCACTATCTTGTCTGCTGTCCTTTATGCCACCCAGGCAGATGGCAGACAAGGTTCCTTGGGTGAATTTGATATCTTTTATTAGACCAACCCAAATGGTTGGAGAATAGTTATTAAGCAAGCTTTCGGGTTCAAAAACCCTTCGTCAGGCTCAGGAAGCTTCAGCAGTTGGTGTGTGCTCTTCCTGGATGGAACCCAGGCAGATGGCACTTTCCTGTCTTGGCAAGGATCGTTGCCTTCCACTGGAGAGCCAGCATTTTATTTTAATTGATTTAGTGGACAATTCCAGATTTCTCAGTTACCATGAAGCCATGAATTAGGTGGGTTCCTGATCATAGTCCTCTTTCGTGGACCCCTTAGACCAGGGGTGTCCAACCTTTTTGAATGTGGGGCTGGATCACAAACTTTTTATCACCCAGTGGGCTGGCGAGCCATATTCAAAGACCACACAGGAAGTGACATCACATCAGGAAGTGATGTCACGGGACCTTTGACACTAATGAAGTTGCAGGAAGTGACAATGAAATGG